CCCCCCCCACCTGTCAACAGCAGAATAAATTTAAATTTAAACTGGCCAGATTGTTCACTCTGCTCCGGTACACAGCTCTGCTGGGGGGTGGGGGAGAGGGATGGAAAATGCTTTACTTATACAATTTTTTTGGGGGAGGGGGGAAGCTGGGACCATTGCTCTGTTTTCCTCCAAAAGGGAGGATGCCGTAGTTTCTAAATGAATTATGCAGATTCTGGTTAAGTGATTAAACACAGCAGCGATGCACCAAAGCAAAGTCTGCATGCAACAAACCAAAAGACAAGCAGCTAAGATGGTGTAATATGCAAGAAAATTACAAAACATACACGCATGTCAGCCTAATGGGAGGGGGGGGGGTCATTGACTTCTCTCAATGTATGGAAAAAAAACCCCTGAGGAGACCCTGAGGTTCTTGCTCCAACATCCAGCTACTTCCAGCGCTCAGTCCCAGCTTGGGAAGCACCTTCAGGAGATGCTGGCTAGTGATCATGCTCCTTTGCCCGTCTATCAGCGGAACGGAGGCTCATCCCCGCACGGGACGTCCTGCCAGGTCACTCTGGGCGGCAGCTGGGGGAAATCAGCCATCGGCTAGTACTCAGGGACCAAGGTGCAGTGTAGAGAAAGCGGTTTGGTGTGTGTGTGTGTGTGGATTAGATATACATTAGGTTGTGAGGACCAAATGTCCCCACAATGTGATAAAAATGTGTTACGTTGATGCTGAGGGGGCCATCATTTCAAGCTGCCAAAGTATTTTGTTTGGTTAAGGTTAGGGCTGGGTAGGGGTTAAGGTTCTCATGGTTGGGATTAGTTTTGTCCACAGAAATGAATGGACGGTCCCCACAAAGATATGAGTCCAGGTCTATGTATGTGTGTGTGTGTTGGACTGTGTCTATGCTCATCTCGACCATTTCTGTTAGTGATCCTGGTTACCTGGAAGATCTGCTTGAGAGAGAACAGGGCCCTCCGGAGCTCTCGTCCGCTGGAGCTGTACAGCTTCTCTGTGGAGAAGGAGTTGGAGATACTCAGTGAGTTCACAGGTCAGGACATTTATGAGAGATACAGGGTGACTGTCGGCTCGAACATCACACAGCTCTGACTGAAACTCACCAGACTGGAAAACAAATGTGAGAAGAACGGAACACATTTATTACAACTTATCTCTGCCTTTAATTTCCTTGTGACTAATGTGTTTTTGATGGGCGCAATCAATCCTTGACAGTATCCATTATGCTGCAGCTGGGAAATTAGATATCTGAGAGCAAAGAACGACCATGATGGAGCAGAACTGAGAGTGGGATCGCCGTCAAGAGGAGGATGCGGGGCTCATTCACCACCCGTCAGCGCGTTCAGGGTCCTGCTGACGTTGTGCTCTCCCACCGGGATCGATCAGACAGTCCGCTTCCTGGAGGTCACTCATGCCTTTAGCGGTCACAATAAAAAGGCCTTTTAACAGAGCTGCATGAATTGTGAATTCGACACCCTTCAGTCAGCCCTGCCTTCAGGAACACGCCCCCCCAACCCCCTCCCCTCCAGGCTCCACTAAGAGTGCTGTCTCTTTTTAAAGTGGGGGAGGGGACAGAAAGAGGGGAGCCATAATTTATACAGTGTGGCCAACCATCATTGGCCAGTGATATGCTTTGAAACAGTGAGTGACAGGGGAGGGGGACTTTCAGCCACTGTCCACCACAAAAGGGTCTTGGGGGGTCGGGGGTGTCAGGACGACATTGAATTTTGTAAGATGGTCATTTTAAGGAGGGCCCCCCGGGTGAATTCTGTCTTATGGGGGTCCCTGACCTCTTATGGGGGTACTAGGATGCACCAGAGTCCCGTCACTTTGAGCACAGCCCCCTATTGTTGCCTGCTTCACCGACGGCCTTCATTAACCCCCCCCCGGAAGACACGGGCAGATTACTCCCACTGCCGCGTCTTACTGGCATAGCTGCTCGCTCGTGTTTGTTTACTGTTTACTCAATCTTGTAAATCTGTATATCACAGCTTCCTGCGCATTAACGAGCTAATTACTCGTCTGTGTGCTCCTGCGGCTCCCAGCTCTCCTCCTCATATCAACACTGCATTTTAACCATTCAACTCAACTAATTAATTTAATGTAAATGAACCAGCACTAGCTGCCCAAAATGTGGTACCAGGAATACATGCACACATTTGGTCCCAAAAATGTAATATACATGACCCACATACACACACACACACACACACACATGCACACGCAAAAACGTAGTCAGGCTGAGTTGGATGCCACATGTTGCAGTGTCCACACCTCTCACCGACTTGCTGTAATTCCTTCTACCTGCCAGCGTGTGGCAGTGTTGGGCTCCCTTCCTCCACTGCCGGCATCAAAGTGACAATGGGGACTTTCCACAAGAATCTCACACCGTGCAGATATACACACGTCACTCACTCACTCCTCTCTCTCTCATTTTCCCCTCCTTCTCACGGTGACGTCTGCTGTCCCCAATGCCTGGCTGCTGGTCTTTGTGTCAGCCCGAGGGTGTCACAGACAGCAGTGCCGCTGTCTCCAGCATCTGTGAAGCAGACACCTTCACCCACGGTGAACTCCATTCTATCCTGCCTCCCGACCTCTGAACCATACGACTCAACTGGGGAGGGGGACTCAGTGCCTGAGCAAAGAGTCTGAGTTTTCTCTACCTGTGAGCTGTGAGGGTGTTTTGGTAGGATCTTCCAATCCCTTGCCCTGGGCCACAGGAAGGCCAGGAACTTATCCTAGGCAGCATAGAGCACAAGTCTGGGGTACCCCCTGGACGTGATGCCAGATGAGAGTTGCAATTCTGGATTACACTAAAATCTAGAGGAAAATGCCAGTCCCGTACATCCCTACCTGGCCCACACACTAAACCCATTTCTGCGTCACTGCCATGCATTGGAGCTCCTCTCTACATTCACAGCCAGCTACAAGTCTCTGATCGACACAGCGTACCCACTGAGGGTAATGCGAGTACACATTTGTGCGGATGTTTGTGCGAGAGAATGCGAAAGGAAAGAAATTCAGCAAAGTACTGGAGTAATTTTTTTCCCCTTCAGAATAACAAATGCCCGACAGCTGAAGGGCTGACAGATGGAGATCCCGTGCCAGCAGCGTGGGCAAGAACGCAGATTCTTCAGGCGGCGTAGCCAGCCTGTCTGGAGCATCGACACCGTGAGCCCCACCGACACAAGAAGCCCCCTGGGGAAAAATTGTAGAAAAGGAACGTGCGTCTATCAGCGGGTCGCGCGGTCCAGGAGCCACCGTGCCTCGATGGAAAAAGAGGACCGTAAATCTCAATCAACCTTCTCATGGGTGGCCAAGAAATGCAGAAATTAAGACAACTTGGAATTTTTTTTGGAAATGCCGCATGTCGACACCAGGACACGGTCTCCTCAGCGGGACCTCCTGTGTGCTCTGATTCATGTCTGCCTCTCAGGCCGACTCATCGCCGAAAACACTCAACCCACAGCTGACCTGAGAAACAGACGCTGAATGCTGGGGAGTCCCACCGTGCTGCGGGTGGCGCATGGCCAAAGCGGCGTGTATATGTTGGGGTTAAAGATCTGCGTACGATGCAGCTGTCTGTGCAAGTGGGGCTGCAGTGAGTGTTAAAAACACAGCGCTGTCATCCACTCACCGCTCTCTTTAATCCTTCTTTTTCATGGCTCACCACTTCTTACTTTAGAAATACTGCAAAAACTATAGGCGCACATACAGGGAAGCCTGACCCTGAAGTCAGAGCATCCCGGCAACCAGGTGATCCTCAGACATGCATCAGACGTGACGCAGGACAGAGACGCTTCCCCGCTAACCTGCTGCTTCAGTGCCATCTGGGGGAGGATCATTAATCTGTTAATAAACATCCTCAGTGGATTCTTCAGTCTGGATTGACTCACGACTCTTTTTGGATGGCATGTCAAGAGGGTGGGTGGTGAAAGGGACACGGACACGCCCCTTAGAAAAGCAGGCGAAAACATTTGTCCAAAATCCATTTGTTTGCATGGACAGACACCCCCACCCCGCACCCCCCACCACTTAAATGGCCCATTTCCCTTAACGAGCACAGAGAGGAGACCGCCTGGGTGAGCTGGCCTATACTGTATGTCTGCCATGACCCGTGATCACAGCGCTCAGAATGCACTCAGCCTCCAAGCCAATCCGGTGAGAATGGAAAACCTGGGATTTTAACTGATACGGTTCCAGCAATTCTTTAGGCATCAAAGACATCCATCCATCCATTCATTTTCTGTAACTGCTTGTCCTATTCAGGGTTGCGGGGGGGGTTCAGAGCCTATTCCGGAAGCTTTGGGCACAAGGCAGCGAACAACTCAGGATGGGACCCCAATGCATCAAAGACATTTGCAATAATGTAATTATCTTTTATTACAGTTATTGCAGTAATGTAATTACAAATGCACTTCCTAATAAAAAATGACAGTTCTTGTGCATTAATCCTGAGAGTATCTGCATCCTGTTTGGGATTAACCCAGCCTTGTGCCATGCTCTGCCCAGAACAGCTTCCATTCCTCCTGTCACCCTCACCAGGATAAGCGGTTAGGCAGTCTTTCCCAATCTGGTCCTCGGTCACCCACAGTCGGTCCATGTTTTTGCTCCCTCCGAGTTCCCTAACCAGACTGTCCACATTTTTACTCCCTCCCAACTCCCTACCAGAAGCTGGGAGGGAGCAAAAACATGGATTGTCTGTGGGTGACCGAGGACCGGACTGGGAAACGCTGGGTTAGAAGATGGATGGATTAATACTCAGAATTCTCCCCCGAGATACTGCTCATTGGTATTACAGCGGCACACAATAACAGTACTGTTCGACTATATCATTGATATAGGCTGCAGTCCCAGATCCCTCCTGTTGTGGAGACCTTCCAGACTGGCTGATCTACAGACACGCATGGCAGCCAATCTCAGCACGACCGTGCAACCACATGTTTCTAGCCATGTTATGGATGCGCAATGCTATCCTACGATTGTGCATTCGTGCCAACACTCGGTGCGCTTCAGTTTCATCACTTGACTCATAACAATTTAGCCATTATGGTGTTTTTGACTTGAAAAGCTCTCCGGTTAGGTTCTTGAGATGTTTTTCTACTGCGTTGTGTGGCTCTTGCTCCAATCCTAACTCACACTTGTTACTGGTCTCTCACTCGGCATAGCTGGCTCTTTGACGGCTGCATGCTTGTAATATACTGTCTGCCTCACTTATTTGTCTCTTTGGACAAAAGCATCTGCCAAATAAATGCATGTAAATGTAATGCAAATGTAAAAAGTCCTTCCTGACAGAGGAGATCAGGACAGCGCCACTAGGCTGAGTGGATTATGACCCAGACTTTCCCGGGTGTGAATAGCACTTCTTTTCTTTGGAGCATTCATGTATTTATGAACAGCTGAGCCGTGAGGTTGCCAAGTGCAGCCATGTGGGGGGGGTCAGCGGGGGGGTTAGCGGGGTCACTTCCTCCAGATGTCGCGCTAAGCTCAGTGCATTTCACCGTTGCCATTTTTCTAGGATTATCTGATCGGTTCATTTGGAAAACCTAACTGGGAAACGTTGGCCCACTTCAGTTCAAACTGTTTTCTTGGGTTTCTGAGGCTTTCATACCATGACCACGCTGAATGAAACATGTTTTCTCCTGAACTTACGGAAGTGCCGAGTCACTCAGACACTTCAGCCCAGGTCGGCGCAGCCACCTTGACCAGGAGTCTAGAAAATCTCACCCTACTATCTCTGTATCTCTTAGGCCATTTATTTTGGAAAATCAACATGGAAATCCTGCTTCACTGCTGACTTTCCCACGGTTCCTGAGGTCAGCCATCGAAGTCGGCGCGTTATATTGCTCCGGAGTGAGATCCCAGGCCGATCCTCCTTCTTCGCCTCCCTGACATCAGCGCTGCCGGGACCAGCAGCCTTTCATTATCTTCTGAATCCGCCACAGAGCCGTCAGCGGTACGTGTCTGCAGCACCGTTTAAGTGTTGTTTACGCA